TTCTATGATCAAATAGGATTGAAAGTTACATAAGATGAATATCAAAGCTGTTGTCATTTGGACAAATATGTAATTTTTAAAAATTACCTTTGATCTCATCTCCTTGGCAGTAGCTTTAATCCTGCATGCCAATTAAGTTTTTAAATAGGTATCGTTCAGTAAGCTTTGCCTGCTCTCAAACCGCATGCGTCTCCTTGCGGACAAACCCACTTGTCTTCCCTTAGAAACAAGAGCCACAGATTCTACTTTAGTTTTGCTTAATTTGACTCAGCCATTTTTTCAGGCTTTGTTTTTACTCCTTCTCTTGAATCCAGTGATAAAAATTACTATGCCTCACCAATGCTTTTGTTTTATGTATTTTCTTTTCCCTTGAAAGAGAGTATTTCTAGAAAGAATGGAATTCCCTAATGAGCCCCAGGGGCCCATGGGCACTTGCCCTCTGAGCTCAGAACCCAGCGGGGATTCCTTTCACAGGAGCAGCTGTTCCTCAAGACTGGAGTACAGTGCAGTTTAGTTTACATGAAGTCTTTTTTCCTAAGATTTACTTATTTTTCTTGAAAAGGCAGATTTATGAAAAGAAGGGGAGAGATAGAAAGATCTTCCATCTGGTTCACTCTCCAAATGCCCACAACGGATAGAGCTGAGCTGATCCAAAGCCAGGAGCCCAGCACCTCTTCCTGGCCTCCCAGGAATGTGCAGGGTCCCAAGGCTTTGGGCCATCCTCTGTGCTTTCCCAGGCCACAAGCAGGGAGCTGGATGGGAAGTGGAGCTGCCGGGACCAGAACTGGCGCCCATATGGGATCCCAGCACCTTCAAGGTGAGGACTTTAGCCACTAGGCCATGATGCCAGGCCCTATATCAGAAACTCTGAACTCAACCACAGCAACAATAGCAGCAGTCTTGATAAGAAATGGCCAAAAGACCTAAATAGAAAGTTTTCAGAAAAAGATATACAAAATGACCAATAAACAAACACCCCAGTATCACTAGCCATCAAGGAAACACAATGAGACCTCTGTCAGAGTGGCTATTACCAAACCCTCACCCTGTCAGAGTGACTATTTTTCAAAAGACAGAGGCCAACTAATGCTGGCAATAATGTGATGAAATGGGGACACACTGTTGGTGGAAATATTAGTGTAACCACTGTTGGAAACAGTAAGGAGATTTCTTAATGAACTGGAAACAGACTTACCATATGATCCAGCAATGCCAATACTGAGTATATACTCAAAAAGACATGAACTCATTGTATCAAAAAGATACCTGCTCCACCATGCTTAAAGCAGCACCATTTATAATAGTCAAGCTACAGAATCAAGTGTCCATCATCAGATGAACAAAGAAAATGTGGCATATATACACAATGGAATGGTATCAGCCATTAAGAAAGGATGAAACACTCATTTTCTGCAATGCAGATGAACCTGGAGGCCATCATGTTAAGTAGGTCAGACACAGGAAGAAATACTGCATGTTCTCCCCTATCTGCGGGAGCTTGCAAAAAAAAAAAAAAAAAAAAAAAAAAAAAAAAAGAAAGAAAGAAAGGAAAGAAAAAAAAAACCCTCAATATGCACACAGAAATGTGAGGCTAGAAGGAGTGGGATTGACAAAGTCAGATTTGAAAAAGGCAGGGAGAATATGGGTGTGACTGAGACAAATATACTGATATATTAATAAAGTTAGCTGTGGAGTTTATGGGAACTCTGTGCTACTCTGAATATTTTGTTTTGTAAATTGAAAAACTTCTAAATGGAAACTTAGTTTTAAAGGGAAAACTGCTTCAGGTGGGAGAGAGGTGGTAGAACAGAGAGGAGTAAGGGAAACTTCTCAGAAGAAACTAACAGGATCTTAGAGTAAACAGTGTTTGAACTTGATAATGAGGAGGTAGTTGAGTCTTTAGTCAAGAGTATAGAATGAAAACAAATCAAAATATGCTAATTGTGCAGAATTCTAAATGTTTTGAGTGTGTGGTGCCACCAAGATTATCACTAGGGAATAAGGTACAGTTCTGGGAGAAGCTGTGGAAGACAGAGATGACACGTGGAACCTCTTCTAGCTTATCTCACCTTGGGGTTTCCATTATCTCCTAACCCAGAAACAGGAGGGATTTCCAATTTTAAGTCCTCAGGGAGAAGACACAAAGTCTCTGATATTCAGGATTTAAACATTTCCCCTGAGTGTCATGCAAGGGAACAGTGCATGATCTAACCCTTCCACAGTTGACCAAGTTCTATCATTGTCATTGTTAATCCACATTTTGCAGCTTCCTGGCTTCAGGAGCTTGACACATAGATGCAGAACGTACCTCCTGTTGAATGAAAGGTCAGTCTCCTTTTCAGATTTAACAGGCGTAGGGTCTTGGGGATTTCTGTTGAATCCCAAGTCTCCCTTGAGTCTTCTAGGCGTTTTCTTCTCACTCTCTAGTGGTCTCCTCATCCTCTGGCTTATCTTTCTCCAGAAATTACCATTGCTAGCCAATGTCTGGCTTAATCTTCCTTTGGGAGCATGTTCATTGCAAGTTAGTTATGCACGAAAGCTCTAACATTCAATAACAGGGACTGATTATAAACCAATGACTTCTTCAGCTTTCTACTTCCCTGTATTCAGGCAACTGCCTGAATGCAGGGAGGATAAATTCTAAAAGGAAGAAAAAAAAAACAAACCTGTCACTTTGTATATTTGTATATAAAAACTACCAGCAAGTAAGTGAAGACATGGCTTCAAACGAAGCATTTTTAAGCCACTAGAGATGAAAGGGACTACTGGTAAGAGTGATAAGTCATTTCAGGATATTGGCTGTCTCACAGTACAGAACGTGAGGACTCCAGGATGGTGCAGGGTATTGAAATGCAAAAAAGAGAAGGAGAAATCTTTTAAGGTGATCCCCACCCTGCTGGAGATATCAAGGCATTCAGTGCATCCAGGGGTTGATAGGAAGAATTCCTTCCATATTTAGGGATAGGACTTATTGTCCTGCCATTGTAGATATAGGTTGATCTCAATGGAACATTTCACAAGGAGCAACAGAGGAGTATAAGGAGTCTCCTGTGACATGATTGATTCTATCACATTCCATTCTACTTCTTATGTTCTGTGCTTTAGTCCAAACATACCTGTTTACATGCTGCTGTTTTTCATTGAAGATACTCCCTTCTCCTGTTAAGTCCATATGAATTTTCTAGTGCTTATTTTGGGCACAACTTTTCTCTAAGCTATGATGTTTTTCTTCAATGTGGCTCCTTTTCTGTGTCCCTTCTTAATAATCTGTATGTACCTGCAGGATTCCTCCTGTCATCTTAAGAGGCAGTGAGCTACATGAGAGCGTCAATAACATCATCTTTACTTCTGAGTTAGAATAGAGCAGCATATGTAAAAATACAGAGCAAAAGTTAATGACTTTACTGGTTTAAGAACAAACAAAATGTTTTCCGTAGCTGAATGGAGAAGAGGTTGACTGAATCTCTAATGAGAAAGACCATGGAACCACTTTATCCTAGACATAAGGTACAAAAATGGCCCTACTTGTATTTATATAAGGGATGAGTGAGAAATGATATGAGCCTAATATTTGCAGGAACTAAAGACATTAGAGCTGTGCTAGGGAACAAGCAGGCTGGGGAAGAAACGAGTGTTTCTGTAAGAGCAATTCTTTGGCTTTAGATGGCTATGAAGACCAGCGCACTCCTGATCAGCTGAGGCGTTTTTAAAGATAATGTTTTGGAATATATCTTTGGATTGTGTTTTCTAACCTGGGATGCAGTCTTCTGAACTAGAGGGACTTGAATCAAAGGGTAAAAATTTTATTTCTGAATTCATGGTTCTGTCTCTGAAAAACCACCTGATAAGACCAACTCTTAGGAAAGGGCCACGGGTTGGAAGTTCCACTGGGTGGATATCATGGTCTGGAAAAGTTAACATTCCCTAGAATATTTAAGTTGAAGTTGACACTGAAGGAGTGTGAATAACTGGTTGATCAAATGAATCAGTGTAGTCTATTCTCATATTGCCTTTTTTCACATGGGACAAATTTTCTTTAGAAATTCGAACACTTGAATGAGAACCAGAGTTCAGTTAGACCCTTGAATTGTTGGTGAAAAGGATAACGAGGTGATATGTGATAACTTGAGGTGATATGTATACTAATAGCCTCGATTCTTGTGTCCTATTTCACAGTTGGGTGGTTGAAGTACAAGCAGGCTGGATTCACTGATAGTCTTGAAGGCTTATAGCCAGTCAAGCTTGGATTCTCATATCCTTTGTTAGTTGAAGGCTGTAAACTCATTTTTTGTGTGTGTGTGCTATTGTTTCACTTACTGCTTACAGCATTTCAAAATTAAGGAAAACCAAGAATGTAAATAACCTTTCCAAGGCAACTCAACCAAGCAGTGGAGAGATGCAGGAATTTAGAGCTAGAGGGAATCTGGCTCAAATTCTAATCCTGGTAGAATGGGAGTTACAGTCTTCCCAAAATTAGTTTTCCACTGTTTTTGGTCAACTTGCTGTTAGTGACATCATTATAATAATGAGTTCTCACCACTTAAGGTCCAAGAATGGGATATTTGAAGGTAGAATTTCCTGGCTTTTTCATTTCTAAGTTTTAGTTATAAAGGGGTTGGTGTTTGGTGTACAAACTGCCACTTGGGATACCTGTGTTCCATACTGGAGTGTCTGAATCCAGCTGCCTGCTGGGAGAGCAGTGGTAAGGCTCAAGCAGGTGGCTCTCTGTCACTCAGGTGGGAGACCTGGATGAGTTCTCAACTCTGGGTTTCAGCCTCACTCAACCCTGGCTCTCTCCTTTTCAAATGGAAATTAAAAATAACAATGAGTAGGACTAGTCTTTGCAAACATGAAATTGATCAGATGATGATGACTTCAGGTGCTCCAAATCTTAATAGCATCTGCAGCTGGAGAAAGTGGGGCTACATATGCCACGTTAGGTTAAATGTTTTAAGAAGAGCTGCTCACTTGTCCATATTGTCACACAGGTGGAAAAGATAATGGTTGTTGGCTGTAACCAGAGTAATAGCGCAACAGAATTCATCCTGGCAGGCTTCCCCAATCTCAACAGCACCAGTGCGGAACTATTTTCTGTGTTTCTTCTTGTCTATCTACTGACTCTGACAGGCAATGTATTGATCGTGGGTGTGGTAGGTGCTGATACTCGACTACAGACCCCCATGTACTTCTTTCTGGGTAACCTGTCCTGCCTAGAGATTTTGCTCACTTCTGTCATCATTCCTAAGATGCTGAACAATTTCCTTTCAAGGCAATACACTATTTCCTTTGTAGCATGTATCACCCAGTTCTATTTCTACTTTTTTCTCGGAGCCTCTGAGTTCCTCTTGCTGGCTGTCATGTCTGTGGATCGCTACCTGGCCATCTGTCATCCTTTGCGCTACCCGTTGCTCATGAGCGGAGCTGTGTGCTCCCGCGTGGCTCTGGCCTGCTGGGTGGGCGGACTCCTCCCAGTGCTCGGTCCCACAGTGGCTGTGGCCTCGCTTCCCTTCCGTAAACAGGGCGCTGTGGTGCAGCATTTCTTCTGTGACAGTGGCCCACTGCTCCGTCTGGCATGCACAAACACCAGGAAACTGGAGGAGACGGATTTTGTCCTGGCCTCTGTCGTCATTGTTTCCTCGCTGGCCATTACCGCCACGTCCTATGGCCACATAATCCTGGCTGTTGTGCGCATCCCCTCGGTTTCAGGCCGCCAGAAAGCCTTCTCCACCTGCACCTCCCACTTGATGGTAGTGACCCTTTTCTACGGCAGCGCCATCTTTCTCTACGTGCGGCCTTCACAGAGCGGCTCAGTGGAAGCTAACTGGTCAGTAACAGTGATTACCACGTTCGTGACGCCACTGCTGAATCCATTCATCTATGCCTTGCGCAATGAGGGTGTCAAGGAAGCCCTCAAGGACGTGTTCAGAAAGGTAGCAGTGGACTCTTCAGGAAATCTTGTGCTTGCTAAGATTTGCATTAAGAAAGCAGGAAGGTGAAAAGGGAGGGACTCAGCCGTCAGTCTCAAGTCTCAGCAGCCCCGGTTTCCTCTCTTACCGCCGTCGTCATCATGATCGTCGCAGTCAACAAGTCTGCCCTATCTCTTTCAGGTAAAACGTCTTGATTCTGTATTATACCTAATTATAATCCACATGGTTGTTGATATATATCCACATCACTATCATTTTGTAAGACCTTCCTACATATGCAAGCTTAACTTAAGGGCCTCTAGCCAACTTAGGAAATCTAAGGAGGAGGCTTCAGGAAAGTTATAGCTACCTAAATTTCATGTATTTGCACATATGTGAATTTATCTGGGAAGAAGCTCATAGCCTTAATTAAATATTTAGATTTATCTGTGCATGACTTGTTTTCAAAGTTAAAAACAGATTAAATATCTCAGTTGAATTCGTATTGCTTATGTAAATCAAGAAACTTTAAGAAAAGTTTCCTTATAGTTATAAAAAATAAAATAGGTTATCTGGACATTTTTGTACACACTTCACAGAAGAAATTGTATTCACCGCTAGAAAATAGCAATAACTATTCTTGGAAACGGCAGCTGCCTTTGCAAAGGCACATCAGCGAGGCAGTTCATGAGTCACAGCATTTAGTGTACTTTTATTTGCACTTTATTGAAAACATGTTAGGCATAATTTATTTTGTTGCTTGATTACACTCTTTGTTTTTTTTTTTTTTGCATTCTTACATCTGTTGTCTTAAGTTTTTGCTTTAGTAAAATTTGGATTGAGCCGAGGGACTTAGTACCACAGAAAGTCTTGGGACCCTGCATCCGTGTGGGAGACCCGGAAGAGGCTCTGGGCTATTGGCTTTGGATCAGCTCAGCTCTGGCTGTTGCGGCCACCTGGGGAGTGAATCAACAGATGGAAGATCATTTGGTCTCTCGTCCTCTCCATATATCTGACTTTCCAATAAAAATAAATAAATCTTTTAAAAAATTACAACCATTGCATCTTCCAAGAAATAGAATTTGTGGTTCAGTGAATACCTTAAAAGAGAATTAGGGTTCCTATTTGTAGTGTCCTTGAAAATCTTAGGGACAAATATTCATTTATTCGTGCATGAAAAAAGTTTTATTAAATGTCTTTGCTGAACCCTGTTGATATACAAATTTATGCTAAGGTGAACAAGAAATGGCTTTTAATCTCAAGTAGCTTGAACTTCAGAGAAGTCTAAGGGATAAACAATAATTTGAAAAAATGGGCATGATAAAAGGACATTGGAGATTATATGACAGTTGGTTTACCCTTTCTAGTATATTTTCTTATTGAAGAAATTTTCATGCATTAAGCAGGATCAATGCTACATTTAATTGCATCCGTCTGTACAGGATCTGTATAAAAAATAACAAATATCAAGATATTGGAAGTATACTAACCTCAAAACAGTGCTGTAAAATGGTCAAACTATTAACATCAGAAGAGAAACCACAAAGTTTCATTGGACATGAAAAACACCAATGCTTTCATCTAGACCCTCTGATAAATATATAAATATTTCTATCCTGAAAGATAATTGAGTACTTATGCAATGGAAGGATAATCAGTGATTTGAAGAGGGAAGACTCTTTAGGTGTGATATATTAGTTGTCTGCCTAGAAAGTAGATAAATAATCACTTTGAAAATTACCTAGGTTTATACAACATAAAAGCATGCAATTCTAGTTACTGGCCAAAAAGGAGTATTTGTGTAACAGTTGACAGTATTTCTGAATATTTCTCACATTGTGGCAATAAAATGTCAAGCCATCTATTCTCAGAACTTGATGCATTGTAAGAAATTAGTTTGGACTCAATTTGTACACATTTTGAATTTATTTTCTTCTTATTTTTTTAAGATGGAGATGCAGACAGCTCCCACCCACCGGTTTCTCCCTAAATGCCCGTGACAGCCGGGCTGGTGAATGTGGTGTATCTGTGAGTGTATGTGAGTAGCAAGTGTATAAACTTAGATATGCATGACAGTTTGTAGTGAAAAGACAAAAGGTTTTTATTGATATTTATTTTTTTAAATATTTTTTTATTGGAAAGGCAGTTCAGATTTATAGAGAGAGAAAGATCTTCCATCTGCTAGTTTGCTCCAGTCCAAAGCCAGGAGCCAGGAGTCCCTTCTGGATCTCCCACATGAATTCAGGGTCTCAAGGCTTTGGGCTGTCCTCTAACTGCCTCCCCAGGCCACAAGTAGGGAGCTAGACGGGAAGTAGAGCAGCCAGAACATGAACTGGCGCCCATGTGGGATCCTAGTACTTGCAAGGTGAGGATTTAGTCACTGAGCCATTGTACTGGGTTCTGATATTTAGTTTTTCCTTAAGATTTCACCATTGTGGACATGGAACTTGACATTGTTTTAGATAAACCTAAAAGACATTGTAGAAGCACAAAAGGTTTCAATTTGTATCATTGCACACATAAACTATTGATAATGCCAATAAAGTTAAATTTATCAAGTATTTCACTGTCTTAATCTCAGCAACACTTGGCACACTTAATCTCTTATTTGAAATTGTCAAGGTAGTTTTTTTTTTTTTTAAGATTTATTTATTTATTGGAAAGGCAGATATACAGAGAGGAGGAGAGACAGAGAGGAAGATCTTCCGTCCAATGATTCATTCCCCAAGTGAGCGCAACGGCCGATGCTATGCTGATCCGAAGCCAGGATCCAGGAACTTCTTCCAGGTATCCCACACGGGTGTAGGGTCCCAAAGCTTTGGGCCATCCTCAACTGCTTTCCCAGGCCACAAGCAGGGATCTGGATGGAAGTGGAGCTGCCAGGATTAGAACCAGCGCCCATATGGGATCCCAGGGCGTTCAAGGAAAGGACTTTAGCCACTAGGTCACGCCACCAGGCCCGCGGAGTGGCTAATTTTTAAAATGACGATGTATGTGTATTCCAACCCTTGGGAGACTAGGAAGAATGCCTATGCCAGCACCACACTTCAGTGGACAACAGGACACAGGATAGAGTAAAACACTCAACCATTACTTGCTGGTGAAAAAGAATGTGGAACATGAGAAATAAGTCAGTTCTGTGGATTTACAGAAGGCTCCGGAGAGCAGCTCTCACCTGTTAGATCTGAAGGAGGAGTTCCCCAGGTGAGAAAGGCAGAGGTCTTAGTGATCACAAACGACAAAGTGAGACATTAAAGTGTAAACACGTGCAGTGGTTTCCAGATACCCAGTAGTCTAATTTGGCTGGTTGTAGAAAGGGTAAAAGAAGTGGTAGAAGATGAGACTGGAAAGTCAATTTGAGGACTAACTGAAAAGGATATTAAACATTATTTTGTGGATCCAAGAAGCTAAAAAAAAAAAAAAAAAACCCTCACACATAACAAACTTATGTGTTTAAAGTCAAGAGCACACAAAGCAGACAAGTGGTAAAAGTTGAAAAAAAAAAAGCTAAGATGCAGTTGTAAAAAACAAAGTTAGCAATAGTAAATGAAGACATTCACAGTGGTGATAACAATGAGATGTGCTTCCAGCCACAAGGTACTCGAGATAGTCCAAAAAATAAGTATTTCAGATTCTTACAACAGAACCTAGCAAGCAGAAAGGGCCTAGGAGATATGTGTGAAGTGAATGAGAAAACCAGATAAGCTGATAATGGCCGCCTCCTTCAGAGCTACTGCTGAACTCTTAAAAGAAGCTTGGCTGTGAATCATCACCAGGCGGAGCATTCCCCTACAATTAGAATCTAATGGGACTAGTCAATGATTCACAGACTGCAAAAACTTTTGCATGCTGAGGAGGAAGAGAAACAGCAAAAACTTTTGCATGCTGAGGAGGAAGAGAAACAGCATTTCTGTATTTTTTTTTAAAGCCGCTTTTTAAATTTTCAACTCCTAATTGAAGTTCTGCCTTCACGCACAAAATTTGTGTTGTCTGGGAAACCTGAAGCTACTGTGTTAATAAAAACACGGTCACTCAACTCAGTAACACCCATCGGCAGGATTATTCCGAACTTTTGAGAGAAACGTTAGTGCTAAACACGGATGGGCTGCTCCAGGCTGTATAGCCAATTCACCAGAGACAAGAGTTGCCCTCGATCTCGGAGTCACACAGTGCTCCTCCAGGAGCCTTGCTGCAGCTCCTTGAGCTCAGGCAAACGCAGGCCTGTGTCCCTTCTCTCCGTGAATACCTTCCCAACGCGCTCCTGTGCCGGCCAGCCTTCAGCCCTGCCGGGCGGCGATTCCTCCAAGTCCCTTCTTGACTTGGATCTTCCTGAATTCAAGCACCTCATTTGCACCACCCCACTGGCCTCACCACTGGTGGCGGCAAGCACAAACTCCCAGGCCTTCCTGCAAGCATCCTTTGCAACAGGACCATCGACCTGGAAGTGAGGGTCTCCGGATAGCTCTTCCTCTTCTCGCGCTTCAGTCACCAGTCACAAAAAACCTTTCTTACCCTGTGGACGCACGACTTCTCTGAGCAGAACAGCGGAGAGCACAGACATTCTGTTCAAGTCGCCCCACTGTTGAGGAAGGACCAGTGACTCAGAAAAGCCTGACCTAAGGTGTGGGAAACATCTACGAACTACAACTCAATGTGGTGGATTCTGAGCAGAAATGGCAAGTACCTCTCACTGTCACCGTGCGCCTTGGGAAACACGTGGGGAGTGATTCCATTGCTCTGGCTTAGGTGGGAACCAGGGTCTTCGACAAACAAGTTTGTGCAGCGAAGGCTCTGCCTGGAGCCCGCTGCCTGGAGCCCGCTGCCCGGCGCCTGCCAGGCCGAGGCGGGAGCAGCCCCGAGCTCCATGGTGACCGGAGCCTTGGAACGCGGGCTCTGTTCCGCACTGTGACGCTCTAGTAGGTAGCTGTCTTCTTCGTGCCCAGCGGCTTGCTGAGAAACACAGCTTTCGCCCCATAAAAAAAAAAAAAAAAAAAGTGCCCGGCAGAGTGGGCAGGGCAGGGTGTTCCTGGCAAAAGAACACTTATGGGCAGCAGAGTGAATACCCATCCGGTTCCAGATTCCTTGGATGG